AAAGGTAAATGGAGGAAAGTGAAGAAAGTATAGTTAGATGATACACTGTTCACTTCTCTGCTTTGAGAAGAAGTCATCTACTGTATAAAAAACAGACAGTTTAAGCACCTACCAGGAAAATATGAAGCAAGTGAAGTGTAGGATTGTAGGTTTTCTGATGTAAAATCACCAGAAGATAATCAGAAACAAAAAAAGTGCATTTCTAAGGGGCAAAAAGTATTTCATTCTTCAACATCGCATAATACACTTAGAACGATGATGTTTGGACCAAGAGATTGCCAACAGTTTAACGCTTGTACACACAGATGGACAACTCCTCCTAAAGGGCTCTTGCCACTTCACAGATCTTCATCATACTTAAATTATACTGAATACATTTAACATCACCATGAATATGATGTTTACAAGCAGCATGAACATTCTTCAGGAGAAGATTCAGGTGAGGGAAGCAAAATAGACATTAACATACTGTACTGTTACAAATATGTCAAAGTGCCTTGAATATGTGTACCTATGATTGCTATTAAGGTGTAATATTCCATCCACCCATTTTCTAACCACTTTATTCAATACAGGGTCGTGGGCCAGAGCCCATCCCAGCAAGCTACAGGCACAAAGCAGGATATACTCTGGACAAGACACCAGTCAACCAAAGAGGAGCAATATTTTCAGTGAAAAATATAATTCCAGTGAATAATATTGCACTCTCTTTAGAACACAGAAAATAACTTTTATTTTAAATCAATAGTTTATGCAGGTTACTCCCTTCAATGTTGTACCTCAACAGGAGTTCCATGTTACCCAATAATTTAGGCCACCACAGTACACAGAATCAGCATAATATTTTCCACTAAACATCTATGCCACAATTTGAAGTTACTGTAGCAAACACATTTCAATTTTTTTAAAAAAAGCAACAGCAAATAATTGTAGAGATCAACACTTTATATTTTTCAAAGTTAGTCTTAGTATTTTGGTATACTTTACATTGTGATTATAGCACTGAAAATAGGCCAAGTGCTGGAATAATTTAAGAGCAGCACAGCCATATTTTGAAACGTGTTACCTAATAAACTACTGGTTAAAGACATACAGTACACTGTAGATTTCAAAGTGGGTGGCTACTCCAAACCTTTTTTTTCCCCAAAGAACAACATAGATTTGGAGGAACAGATAAAAGCCCAAAATTATGTTTGTTAATGCATTGAATTAAAACGTAATTTATGATGTAGAGCTTGCAGCTGCATTGTAACAGATCAGTGACTTTTTTAGCCAGAAAAGGTTTGGCTGCTTTTGTTTAACACAATAGGACAAGAAAAACAGAAAACAACTGATACACAGCGAAACATAATATGTCACATATGCGCCTTGTCAACATAAATGCTCTTAACAATTCTTCTGTTTAACTGCCTCAAGCATGAACATTTTGTGACTAAAATGAAGAAGCTTTTTCATCCATAAAACAATAATCACAAAACACAGACAATAAACAATGTTTAATTGTGCTTTATCTAGTAGTTGAACTTACGATATCACCAAACCAAATATACCGTATTTAAACAGGAGTAAAGATAACCGTAGTAATTGTAAGATTACAAATAGTCGTAGTATGAGAAATGAGAACAGAGTAAACGCATAGTTGTTTCATTAAAAAAAACGTTTCCACCATGAAATACAGTAGTGAGGTGAATATGCGATGCTTTAAAACATCTCTCTACATTCAATGATATACAGAGAAACAGAGATGCACTGAAGTGTCACTGTAATATACATTCGTCCTTTCCCCAGTCTTTTTGAACTCTGTCTTTTGATAAAATACCTGCTGAAGTGAGAATAGAGCTTTGTTAAGCGTCGATATTTTTGGCCTCTGAAAAAAGTTAAGATGCCCTAAAGACGATTTAATATTAAATTCTAAACAATTATCTTTCACGGATAATAAAAGGAGAGAAAAGCACACACGGGGTGAACGAATAATATTCTGTAAAAGCCCCAAACACTGTGGATAAATCAAAAGTAAGAATAACAAGACGCAACTTAGTTGCGGATCTTGGATCAGAAGTTTGGTTAAACATTATTCAGATCTATATTTAACCAGAATCGGAGCTCAATATAAGTAAACTGCTAAAGCAAACAATAAACAGTAAACTAAAAAACGAAGGCATACTGTATTTGAATATGTACGTAAACATCTCATGATATACAGCAAGATACATCAATATACAACTTCAAATACTTATTGAATGTTTTGATTTCGTTGCGATATTACTTTTTGTTTATTTACCTTATTTTATTTACCATTAATATGCAACATGAACAGGTCCAGTAGTGTTTTTTTACAATGGAACTCGGTGTGTGTCCAACGCATGTCAAATTCATTATTTTTTATTTCGTTAAAAAAGTTGTAAAGAAATGACAGTAAGAATATTTGACGAGGCGTAGGTTTTGACACAAAGCGCATGCTACCTTACAGCTCGGTTTAAATAAATGTAACACAATAAGACGTCATTTACTCCTTTTATATATTTAATCCTTTTAATTTACAAAATGTTAAAATGGCCATATTTTACCAGTTGTTGTTTTTTTTTACCTTCTCACTTCAATTATCGTTAAGCACTGCAGCGCTCACGACTCACTTTAAACAAAAAAAAGGCGAACGATTCCGTTGTCTTACCTTTCGTTATCAAAAACACAAAAAGAAGGAGTAAAGTTGATTTCCCCGTAGAATTCATCTAGCGTGGAATGAGTCAAAAGAGTATTTTGCTGGAAGCAGATGAGAATACAGGCGGGGATGTACAGTAGCAATCTTGGTGAGCGGCTGATGGAGCGCTCTCTGATACTGATAAGTTCATGTTGTCCCACCCCTCAGGCACAACCTCTCTCTCGGTCTTCTTAAAGGGATGCCAGTGAAAAATAACCTGAACGCCTTCTCGGATACTAAACTAAAAGCCTTGATGTTTACATGTATGTTATTCAGAGTGAGAATAAATGGCTGTGATTTTTAAACAGACTAAGCATATATTGTATATTTCAGCGTATGTGTTACAGTATGTGTTCACATGAAGGTAAACTGCGTTTCACGTTGCAGAAGAAGGAGGAATTCTAGGAATAGAAGTTTTATACCTCATAAACCAAACACGGGGTTGCACTGGATGTGTTTTTGCCATTTATTACACAGGTGCAATCAAATCTAAGGGAGCCTTCAACTGTGTCTTCTTTTTTCTGTGGCATGTTTTGATATTTGTAAAAACAGCTTGCACATTGCCTTCGCTATGACGAAACGTGTAAAGAAAAAAACTTTCACGTAGACTTCATTCCACTTGAGACTTTCACCAATACTATTCTCTTTCGTGTTCACTGTCAATGACTGACTCCCTGGTCAGAAGACAAACCGATTCACTGTCTTTCCATTCAGCCAATACAGCTGTTGTTTCAAAGTTGTTTCAATACATGTCTTCTGAATCGTTCACAATGTCATGACGAGAATAAAGTTTCAAAGGCAAGTTTATTTCAGACGTTGAATGTTCCAAAAAAGTAATGTTTTGTGTGCTTTATTAAGTGCCTTTTCATTTCAGCTTGTTGCATTATAACGCGACTACAACTAAAATTGAATCATTGCTTATACAGTACATTATATTCAGTAGATATATTATAGGCTTCTTTATGTGAGTGCCTATTGCATAGATACAATGGTCTACAGTAGATTATCTGCCATTCATTTGCTTTTCAAATTGCACATCATTGACTTTTGGCAAACAGTCAACTATCTCCCTGTCTTTAAGAAATATCTTTATATCTCTAACCATCTCTATGAGCTAACATGACAGAGATGTTTGGATTGTATATACAATCTCATACACACAAGCTCCAACACAGATACAATCCTTGTGGCTCATTATTCGTAGTCCAAGTGTGCCCCAGTGATAATGCGAAAAGAGTCACAAATCTCATTACCTTCTTTTAAACGTTGACTTCTGTTGTCTAAAGGTACCACTGCTCAAATACTGTACGTCACTGCCTGTGTGGTGAGTGCTGCTCTCCCTGCCCTTGACAGGATTTGCTCTTAGTCAGTTGTGAGCTTAGAGTACACATAGTACTTCTCTCGACATCGGATAATACCAGCACACCAAAAGCCCAGGTCTTCGGCCACAGCAGGGTTCTCCAGTGCCTTGATTTCAGATGGGAGTGACATCTCACAGATTATGAGCCCTGTTACACATACAGTATTTCTGCCACTTGGACCATGTCGGTATCATCCTGACTATGGGACACCTCAAGGCTACACACCCAGCTCACTGTCCCCTTGTCCTTTCCTCTCCCTTATGAGTGAGTGTGGGCAGGTTCAGGCTCACTGGACAAACACTGACAGCAAATTCTTTTTGTTATTTTGCTCAACACTGGTATTGTAATGGCCCCATACTCCCACCCCTTTAAGTCAACAGATTATCATCATCCCACCCTGCTGTTTGTTTTAACCAAACTTTATGTCATCTGCACAGAACTTACCATAGAAGTCATGTCACCCCACTGAAACAGAGCCTGGAATTCTGCTGTGGCAGAGAACCCAGTCTTTCTGAGTAGTGGAGTGGAGCTGCTCATGAGTTTCATGACTCCCACCAGGAGCAGAGCAGAGCTGCTCTCTTCACACTAGTATCCACTGCAGGCAGCAGTGGGGCAGGTTGTCAGCATTTCATCTAGGCAAGTAGGCTGCCTCCTTAATCTAAAGGAGTAAATGCTTCCAATCTTGACTTGTACAAACCTGGATATCGTGGCAACCAATTCACTACAATTTGTAAATGTTCCTCTAGTGGCTGCTTCCTGGGGTATCATTTTTGTTCTGGTGGGGCAGTGTATTGCAAAATCCCGAAAAAAAAGCATCAAAAGACTGCACGAGAAACTCCTTAGCTTGTGGTGCTTTTGCTGGCAAACAAAAAGGAGGTCAGGCCCTAAAGCTTGTGTCTGTGTTTTAGTCATATCTTAAAAATGATTGCTGACACTTCAATATTGGAACTGGAAATTGTAAAACATGAACAGAATGTGATTAAGGTATTGTATCATCTTTGTGCTGCTTAATGGAATAATATTGAACTTTATTTTACATACAGGTAGCACATTTAAAACCAATCATCTAAAACATTTTTACAATGCATAAAAAAACACATTACAAAAAATAAAACTAAAGGAAATTGCCATTACAATAAAGCAGATACAAATGTAACATGAATAAGGTCAGTAAGGCAATGTGACGTGCATTTTAGAATTCCTTTCGAAAGAAATTCAAAAAACTTGGGGCAAAAAAAAAAAAAGTCCTATCACTTATACAGTTTGGACTAACCGTGGAAACACATAGTGAAACAAAATCAATTCAGCAAAGGTCATGCACAGGGAAGTACAGTAAATACAGGATATCAGCTAGATACATGTAGAGCTTTAAACCTAAGCAGAAATATGTTAATATCAACTTTCCAACCTGAGAGAAAGCCATTGAAGGATTTCCAGACAGGAGAGATGCTGTACCTACTGTAGTTGGGATAACAGTTGAAATCAGAAACTTTTGTAACTTACTGTGTTAGGAATAGCTTATGAGACTCTTGCAGGTGAGGCATTGCTATAAACAGTCCAGACTTAAGACACGGACACCATAGGACACAACCTTGCAATACTTCTAACATAGAAAAGCAAAGTGATTGAAAATCATTCCCAAATTCTTCTTTTGGATCATAATGAATTTCTGCAGGTTTACATTAAAATCTCTGTCATCTCAATTAAGACTTTTATATTAATGATATTAATGATAATTTTGTGTCATCCAAAGTCTTATTTCAGAAATGCAAACTAAGAGAACTGTAACAGTTACCTTGGTGAGGGATTTATTGTGGAAATAGATCTCAGTATTATCTGCATATACAGTAAATGACAATTATGTGATGGTAATCGTTACTTGATAAATGGTAAAATGGTAAAGTACTGAGTAACCCAGGACTGTGTAGCCCACCCACTCTCAGAACAAAAAACATCAAGATAAATAATAAGCACTTAGCAAGGTATGATTAATAATCATTTAAAGGCAATAACAGGGATTACAAAGAAACCCGTCAATGAAACAGCAATACTTCACTAAGCACAGTTTCTATTAGTGCTGATTCACCATAGCACTCTACTGTATGTCCTCGCCATTTTTTAATTACTCCATACTGTATATACTTGATTTAAAGGAGAATGCTTGTTTGTCCGTCTGTGACCTAGAGCACACTCAGGACACGCTGTAATTATGCATCGTGCTCTTACTTGTGCTAAAGGCAAAATGCAATGAAAAACAGCATGTGAGCTCTCAGCCAATGACAGTGTGGCATGATCTGTATGTATATTGTATGACTAGTGTCATTTTAATCGTTCTCCTGTATCTCTGTGTGTGCAGGGCTCTGCTGTGATCTTGATTATTTTTCCTTATTAATGTTCATGTGAGCCACAGCCTGGCCATTGTAGCAGAAGTACTATAGCTCATTTTATCCATTTCCTACCTCTTCCTAACATGTAGGAGTGAAGGCAGACAATGGTTTATCTATACAAACTCAGACGGAATGCTTTGGTGCATAAGCCAAATATGCCTTCTTTAAACTAAACGGCAATTTAAAAAGAAAACTCCTCTACATATCTCATTGATTTTGTAACTACACTCTGTGGCAAAATGATCAGTAAGACCATTGATGATAGCCCAATTAAGCCCTCATACAACATATCGCTTATATGGAAGACATACTGTACAGTACCTGGCAGACAGTCCTTGGAATGCATTCCCCTTGAACACATGGTATAATTGCCTCTTTTAGTACTGATTCTTACAGCATTCAATTCTCTGCAACAAATCCCCAGTGCTAAGCTAGGTAATGTTGTAGGCAGAATGTTATGACTCGCAGTATTGAATGCAGTAGAGATCTAAGAGAACTAAAATAATGTACCCAAAACAGCTGCCATGAGGAAGTCATTAGCAATTTTAACAAGAGCAGTTTTAGGGCTGTGTACTGTAATTCTTTAAAGCCCAACAGAAAGGGTTTAAAATGTTTATTTAAAGCAGGTGCAATGCAGTAGCACTTTCTGATATACTGTATTTGCAAAAGACATGTTTGAAATGTGCCAAAAATGTTTATGAACTTAACACTTTAGAGTCTCCATCAGCTTAAGATAAGGAAGCCAGGTTCTTTGTGATACAGGGTTTTTTCTGTCATGTAGACAATTGTGTTCCTTAGCCATGGGTGTTTTTTTAAATGGGCAACATCTTTTAAGGAATTATCAATAAACATTATGCTTGCAAATGTATGATATTTTTTAAACAATAATACCAATAAGCAGAAAAAGTCAAACAAAAAAATAACACAGGAAGGACTGACCTACACTGATCTTAAACGACAACACAATGTATAATATCTGAGAATATAAAATGAATCTAATATCAGAAAATGTGTAAAATGTGTTGTGAGATTAATAATATTAATCAGGAGCACGTCAAGGTGGTCCCAGGAAAATCTCAGTAGTTTTTTCTTTCACTTTCTACACCTACAGAACATAGCACCAATCTGGCCTCAGTTTCATTTCATTCAGAAGTCCCTGAGTATTACATTTCATACTGTATATCACATCATGAAATCTTCAGATTTATTTCTGTCAAATTTTCGAATTCACCATATATCTGATCATTCATACAACATCAAGGTACTGTATACTGTAAGGCTGGGGCACCTGTTTCTATGCAACAATCACAAAACATTAAGTTCTTCCTTACAGACTAAAGGACCTGGTTTTCTGGGGTGTGTTTCTCAGAGACATTGGAAACTTTGATTTTGCCCTTTTAGTACTTACGTGATTACAGTATGGCATCAAATGGGAAAGCACACTATAA